AATTGACATGACACTAGCAGAAACCTGGAGATGTGGGACCTTAACTTAGCAACAAGGTCAGGACTGAAGATATAGACCTGGCAGATATATGTGTCGAGATGATACTTTAAATTATGCCAGTAAATTGCATTTTCAAGTGAAAGAAAGGAAACAGAAGTAGAAAGATCCAAAGACCTTATTCCTTACTTTAGGGCTTTAAAAGGAAGTGGAATGAGTAAGCAAACAAAAGAGAATTGTAGAACTAGGAAAATAAGCAGTTTAATTCAATGCATTATAATAGGAAACAAGAGAACAGAGGCAGCTAGTTCATTTCTATTTGGGGGAAAATTATACTATATGCAATTCTTGATAACATGTAGGACATTTATCCTACATCCAAAAGCAAAATCTCTTTTGATGATTTGGGAAATTTTTTTTATATTTCTTTTAGTGATAGTTAATTCAAGATTTCTTAGACTGTATACATTTTAAGAAAAGCAAGATAAAAATATGAATCCAATTAACTGTCATCTTTATATTTATTAAACTTAGTCTTAAATCAATTATCAGAGGTATTCTTGTTTTATTAGTAATTGAACAGGTAGTTTTACTTTTTGAATATCATTAATTCAAATTAAAAAGTAATTATGAGATATCTCTCCATATATTCCCATATGAAATCATAAAAGCAAATCTTGATACAAGCATTGATTGCATTCAGCAGAAAATATCCAAATATCAGATACCTCTTTAAATGAATAATTCAGTTTTTAATAAAAGGAATAAACCTGGGATTGATGCAATAGCACTTCATTTCACACAGCACTTGCAACTGGTTTTTAGGATTTGTTCCCTATTGCCTACAGTATATGACAGATTTTATTCTCTTCCTGTAGCTTATGTTTGCAGGAGTGCAATTTTATTCTTCGAAGATTAAATAGGCCATATTTTTACCTAGCTTTTTTATATACTGACTTTTTAAATGAAAATTTATACCTAGATAGCAAAAGCAACTATCAAAATTATTAAAACATTACAGCCTTCTAGACACTGCTAATTAAAAGCATTAATTAAGTATAATTTATTTGTTCACGTCTAACAAGATAAGTTTCTGGTAATACAGTGAAACTTATGAGATATATACCTGCATCCATATTATCAAAGGGCTAAATACAAACAAATTGGATTGTTTTAAGTGTAAAATAATCCTTTGGTTACTCTTTCATGATCTGTAAGTAAATTCTTTTATTTCTAAAGATAAAGGGTTTATCTTTCACTGATGGTACCCATAAATGACCAAAGGAGAAACTGAGATCTCAAGACAGTCACATAAAGAAAAGTGTTAAGATATAATTTCAGCCTAAGAATCATTTATAATTGTGACACATCCAATAGAATACAGTTTTCTTTGCAGGTATCAGAAGAGCACTAATATTGTTTTCCTGAGCGTAACTATTTGAAAATCATTTCATAAATTTCATTTTCCCAGGTGATGAAGCTAGTAAGTGAATTACCATATTATGTGTTTTCCTTCTAACAAGGCACTTTGAAGTTAACTATAGAATAGCAGATGTCTTCTTTTTTTCAAAATAACTCAATTTAGTTAACAACTGGAATTAGTTCCATTTCTATTTGACATGTGAGCAAGAAAATCACAACTGACCAAAATAATCCCATAAAGCAATCAGACTAAGCTACTTGAGGAATTCACCAAACTAGTAGTCTAACAGTCTGGGTCACATTTAATGCTCAAAGGCCGTTGCCTACAAAGTTAGCAAACATTTTGGGTTAAAAATTAATGCCATCTCTGTCTCATTAACAGAGCATCTATTAAAATATCACCCCAGGAAGTAACAAACCATATGGTGTTTCAGAACATTTGGTGGTGGTTTAGTCTCTAAGTTGTGTTTGAGTCTTTGTGACCCCATGGACTGTAGCCTGCCAGGCTGCTCTGTCCATGGGACTTGCCCAGGCAAGAGTACTCGAGGGGATTGCCATTTCCTTTTCCAGGGGATTGTCCAGACCCAGGGATTGAACCTGGCTCTCCTGCATTGCAGGCAGATGCCTTACCCTCTGAGCCATCAGGGAAGTCCTCAGAATATTTAGTCACAACACTAATACCTAAACCATGAATATAAATAGTGTGGAAATAATTATTATACAATGTAAATGTTTGGAAATGGTTTTTATGTAAGCTATATGTTTATTTGTTCCTACCATATTAAGTGTTAATTTATATGGCATTCACAATGTTTTATTAATATCACTGAGATGAAATTTTTAAAAAGAAATTTCTCTGATTAGTTTTATTTTTGCTTAAATATTATGGGGATAATAATGAAAATATACTAATTGATATTGTAATAATGATGTTGGATTTACACAGAATTTTTGATGGGAAAATATTGTCTATACAATTAGGGATACAAACAAAACTGAAGATGAACCCATTCAGCCGTGTGTATGATATTATTATAATTAAGCCATTTCATTCCAGAAGGTATTCATTAATGACACTAATATCTGTTTCTCTCATAAGTACATGGCAGATAGTTTAGCAGAAAAAGTAGAAAAGACACTAAAATAAGAAAACACAAAATTCTAAACTCTAATGCGTAACTCGAGTTTGGCTTAATATTGTACTACTTTGTATTATTTCTTGCCAATATTCATTATGAAGAACTAACTCCTTTACAAAGTGCTTTACGGAAATAAATACACTCTCTCACATAAAGATCACAGAATGCCCTCCCTGATTTTATTTCCCATATTTGTCCTTCAGCCTTAGGCAAACAGACCCATTCATATGGTCAAACAATTTTTGGGGGGAGGTGAGGGAATAAAGTGGTTTATATTCTGTAACCTAAGTATTATCTGCAGCTTCAGGAGTCCCATTTTTGAGCTTTCATATATCTGTACATTTTTCAATCAGCATTGCTTCCTTCTGGCACTCTATTACTTGAAGAATGTGAGGCAGTTGCAGAAGCTAAAGAATTAAATGGCATAAATACACCTTTCTCAAACCCTTTGAGCAGGAAAAGGGAGGAAAAACTCAGTACAGATAACAATATAACTGCCCTTTCTAGTTTTCCTTTAGATTATTTGTTAAAAGGAAATTATTAAATTTTCATGTGCTCTGCAGAGTCTAGCCTCGGTTTATAAGATGAAAAGAAAAAGAAATATTATTAACTGCTTCACTGCCAAGGGACAGCCATGACCTGCTTGGGTGGATTAGCAGAATTCTTAGTAACCTGGGTTTCAACTCTCTTGAACGCTAATGTTTTAGGATGTGCCCTCACTGCAATTTCAATGCCCACGTCCAAGGTCATGAGATCACAAGCTTTATCCAGTGCCTACAGACATCATGTGGAGTGGGAAGCAAAGTTACAGAACATTGGTGTAGCTGGCCTGGCTCAAATCTCCTTTTTTAATATTAAACAAACTCTCTGATCTGCGAGATCATCTTGCTTAGCCAATATGCCTGAATACCTGTCTTCCAATGATTAAGGTGATTATTTCATTGAAAATATCATTAGAAGTCCTTTAATGTGAGGAATCTCTTTGAAGAAATTACATTTTACAGCAGTATGTATAAATTGGGCAAGGAATTCAAGTCCTGGGAAGCATGCATGCTTTTCTGGCATGAAAGAAATGTGAGCTTTAAGCAGAAAATTAAGTGTCCTTCTGAGAGTCACCTGAACAATTCTTTCTCATTGGTCACGACATATTCAGGAAAGGACCGCCTGCTGCCAGGAGTGTGCAGTATGATGACTGGTCAGAATCACAGAAATGCCATTCACCAGGGCAGATACAGCAGAGGGTCCCAGTGCGAACTTGTCCTAAACCCGATCCTAAAACTACAGGTTTCAGAAGCCTGGAGTTTATCTCATATGATAGCATCACCCTCTTATCTTTCATCATTTGCTTTGGAAAAAAAAAAAAGTCAAGATTATTTATACTTAGGATCATAGTTAAATAATAAACAAACAGACTTGAAAACGCTCAGAGAGCTTTGTGAAGTGCCTGTAAACTAGATTAGAAATGTGAATTACCATGACCCCATCCCCCACGCATCAAGCTATCTAGCCCTGTGAACAGAGTTCCTGGCCACTTTCAGCTCTTTCAGCCTTTTAAAGCAGGTTATCCTCCCTGGATTTTAAAAAAGTGTCAACATCTTTGCATCATCTTTCTGCTCTGAGGAATAGAGAGGTAAAAGAACATTTTTATAATCTCTTTTAAAATTACTATGAAGATGTACAGGTTTACAACTCTCTCAAGTGTCTCAAGTAGGATTTGCTACTGTTTTGAATGGATTACCTTATTTGACTTATTTGCTGTTAACTGCATTCAATAGAAGAAAGATGATGGTTTTAGAGATCTACAAACTGCATTATTTCAATAGTAAAGGCATTTATGTTAGAAATATAATAGCAAGACACACATGCAAATACAGAGACATACACACACTCATAGAAGTACAGCACAAAATGAAACCTGAATGAAAATATAAGTATTTTAAGTCTTTCCTAGACTGTTTTAGAACAAAATATCTATTTCATTCATTTATGTGATAAATTATATCCCTCTGGTAACAGTCTCATTCAACTAAAACTCATTAATTATTTGAATTATTACATTGCTATTTCAGTTTAATTAGGCAAGTCTTCAGCAGAATAATAAGCAAACTAAGTGATTTCATAAAACCTTCAAGATCTTACCTTTGATAAAATTCCTACCCTGCTTCAGAAATCTCTTATGAGTCAATGTTTTAAAAGTATACATTCTGTTCATTGTAGTAATCAATATTTTACTTTAGCTTTGCTTAAAACAATAAAGGGCACTTTTGTGACATACGGAAATATTTCTTTGATGGTAGAAATGCAGAGATAGATGAGGACAGCTTTCGATTTACCTTCATTTGAGGTGCATCTAAGTTACAAAAGCAGGGTGAGACTGCCTTACTTAGGAAGAGGCTTGTTAACACACAACTGATGACTCAGGCAAATCAGATGGCAAATTACCTTTGAGAGGTCCCCAGCCTCCAAATAGAAGCAGATAACAAACACATTCCACGTAACCCAGAGGACTAGCCAGACAGCATACTGTAGAAAAGCAAGAGAGAAATAACATAATTAATTTTGAATCAGGTGAGTAAGATTTAAATAGAACTTGAACTTTTGAACACCAAATCTTAAGATTAGTGGGGAATATTAGATATCACTTCTTTCTAAGAAACAGGATGAGATGTACGTTTGTCTCTAGTTTGATATTCTCCCCTTACTGTTATGGACGAGCGTGTTACAGCTCAAACTTACTAAGGGATAGTGTCTTCTTTTGTTTTAGACAAAATACATAGTATCCCACACTTCTGTTTTCAGGGGGAATGGCTATGGTTTCTAGACATTAAAAAAAATAATGCCCTTCAAAAAGAGAACTCTTGTTTTCCTTTAGCAAGATCAACTCAATGCTTGATAACATGTAACCTTTCCCCAGGTTATCTAGGGTCATCTTCAAATCAGTTTTCATATCTCTGTCCCATCGAATCAGCTTTCTCTCTTTGGTATCTTTTTTTCCATTTATCTTTTCACCTTCTTATTTTATCCTCTTGTGATCCCCCATTACATTGACCATTTAGTTATTTTCTCTAATTCTATTTTGTCTTCTTATTCAGTGTGCTGTCTTTGTCAACAACAAAATTTTCTTACCAAGACATAGTCCTGAGCATTCAGTTACCTATAATTTATTAAGCCCCACATTAGCAACATGCTAGAAAAGACACTGAGGATAAAAGACCAATGATAAATTCTTCCTGAGTTCAAGTCAAGTAAAGGAGGTAGATCAGAAAAGAGATGCTTCTTATACAAGAATCATAAAAAGATGTATAGTCTGAGCTTAAAGAAGAAAGATAGCAAAAGTGTATAAGTTATTCTGAGAAGAGGTAGTCCTGCAAAGTTTAACAGAAGAGATGAAACACTTTCCACTAGAGGTTAACCAAGCTAACTTATGGATTTTACTAAATAAGTGAATCAGGGTTTGAAAGGGCTATTATGGAAGGGTACTATAAACAAAGACAGCAGCAGGTGTGATTTTAAAAAAAAGATGAAACAAGAGGCTTCTACATCATTTCTCTGCTAAACAAATACCAATGGCTTCCATTATTTACATGGCAAGTTCCAAAATCTTTATTTTACAATTCAAAGACCTCCATGATATTGTACCATGTTATCTTTTCAGACACATTTCAGTTCATCCTTCAAGCCATTATGACTTACAGATGTATTGGATTGCTTTTCTTCCATGTACATGGAAAGTTATTTCTCACCTCTGTGCCATTTTGTATGTTATTCTTTATCATTTAGTAATTTTTCTTTTTCCTAAGCACTCCTCTTACCACCTATCAATATTCTATTTTTCTTCAGAGGTCAATATAAATATCATCTCTTGAGTTATACCCAGTTGGAAATGGTGTATCCCTGCTTTGTGATCCAGTAAGATCTGGCTTACTCAAATTTCGTTCCAAATGTCTTATATCTAATTATTTGCATCTTTTTCTCCTTTGCACAATGATAAGTTCATTGAGGAAAAAGACTATTTTTATCTATACTTATATCCCTAAGTTTCTAAGTTAATACTTGGTAGAAAATAGGTATTCAATAAACATTTTGTAATCAATCAACGAATAAGCAGCAATCCTGGGGGAAAAAAACCCTTCATTTTCAGAAGAACTTCTCCTACCCATTCCAGATTTGATTTTCATGAGAATACGATGATCATTCATGCAGTGTGAGGACTGAGAGCCTTAAATGAAAAGATTGAGTGCACAGTAGCTTCACTTGTTCCTAACTCTTTGCGACCCTGTGGAATAGGACTGCCAGGTTCCTCTGTCCACAGGATTTTCCAGGAAAGAATATTGGAATGGGCTGCTGTGCCTTTCTCCAGGGATCTTCCCAAACCATGGATAGAACTAGCGTCTCCTATGTCTACTGTGTTGTAGGTGGATTATTTACCCCTGAGCCACTGGGGAATCCCAAATGACAGGACTATGTCATCATAAATAGTAACTCAGCCACTTTCCAAGTGATGCTTTCATCTAACTGCTGAATATGTTCATTGCTCAGAATAAAGTAAGGGCAAAACTAAATGGCCAAACACAAAAGAAAGGGTTTGAGAAGTGAAAGCTTGGTACTGGAAATACAATGAGAAAGGTAAGCAGGCTGGGGTGTGACATAATCATAGTTCATTATAAGCATTCCTAAGGTTAGTGAATCACATCTTAAAAACAGCTCCTTTAATTGACAGTTTAGAATTGTGGACAGCCAAGTGTTTTAATATTAATGATGAAAACATCTTTAATAGATATATACATGTATACTCATAAAATAAATATCCCTGGTCAAAATGATTGGACTATATTCATCTTTTGCCCAAAGATTATGAAAGTGTTTGTCAGTTGTGTCCAACTCTTTGTGACCCCATGGACTGTAGCTCACCAGGGTCCTCTGTTCATTGGATTCTATAGGCAAGAATACAGGAGGGGGTTGCCATTCTCTTCTCCAGGGGATCTTCCCGACCAAGGGACAGAACCCAGGTCTCCTGCATTACAGGCAGATTCTTTACCATCTGAGTCACCAAAGAAGCCCTTATTTTAGCTTTATTTTTTCATCTTCAACAATAAGCATCATTTATTCCACTTAGGCATTCTCATCACTCTCTCATCCATTGTTATGATACAAAAGAACAAAAGTAGCCCAAATAAAGCAGCTTATTTTCTAATTCTTGATCATATTATGACCAGGGATTGCCTGCTTTATGATACAAATCCTTTCTCCTAATTCATAAATCCTATTACATCTACTTCATGCTATAGAAACGTTCAATTATAAGAAATAAAACATACTAAATGCATTAAATAAAATATACTGCTATTACAATTAACTTGATAATCAGCCAGAATCTGATAAAAATCCAATTTTAATCATAGATTACACTGCGGATCAAAGAAAAAGGCAGGTTTCTACATTCTTATTTTACCGATGCTGCTATTGCATACTCACGCTTCCTTGTGATTTTATGTCTATGGACACATTTTAAAGACCACATAATTTTTTATAAGATTATATTTACCCTCAGTTATAGAATTTTCTTATTGTAGAAAATATTTAAATTTTTGATCATATATGGCAAATTGAGAAAAGTACCATGCTTAGATATAATCACTTGTATCATTTTAGTGTATGTTTCATATGTACTTTTTCTATTAGTGCATTTTTCAGTCATATATGTTACCATAGGAATCTTTCTCTATATTCTGTTACCTGAATTTTTTTGCACTTGATTAAAATATCTCATTGAATACTCTGTAACATATGTTGTAATGCAATGATGTAGTATGAGCTATTCAACTAATTATCATTAAACATTTTGTGCTTTTCTTATTCTATTTTGATCAGTTCCTATAAATTTGGATTTTGCATAAAAAATTTCAGTTCAGTTTGACACATTAAATCATACCTGAAAATATTCTGTTTAAATGGACTATTTCTAAGACAGAGTATAAATGTTAGAATATCCAACAGGCATCATTTTAATGAACATATAAACACGGCTATTAAATTTTATGCAACTCCAAATAAAAACAGAATCCCCCAAGGCATTCTATTCTTCTTGAAGCAAAAAGTGGAAAATAATTCCCTTAGATTGAAAAAAAAATGATACTCATTCACCATGAAGACACCTGTATATAACTAATTTCTTTCAACTCATGCAACATATTTCAGACTAGGATATTTATAGCCCTAAGGCTAGAAGGATTCTACAGAAAGAGCTTTTGATGCAAAATAATAATAAATCAAGTTATATAGGAACATCCCAATTGACATATGCAAATAAGAGGTTTGAAAGGCTAATAAAACATAAGAATTAGTGAGAAAATAACAATCTACACTTTTAAAAGCTGAAATTCATGCAGTTTAAGAATTAGTAATTCTATTCATGTATATCTGTTCACATAGCAGAGTTTTAAGACATGTAATACATAGATCTGAAAGTGATACGCGAAAAAAAAATCTTCAGTCTATTAAAAGGCAACTTGTGTTTTATAGTCACATATTCATCACACTTTGTGCCTGTAAGTGACATCACAAAAGAGCATTCATTTCTTTCCAGTCAGCAAACAATTTAAAACTCATCTTTTTTGATATTCTTGCTTTTTGAAATCATAGTTAAAGAACTGTAATAACAGTGGGTTTTCCTGTGTTGAAATTTCCCAGTAACACCAAAGAAAATGAAATTGCCTCAGTTTCTGGTTATCCAGAAACTTGAAGATCACAGTCAAGATGATATTAGAATGCATTTAAAAAAAACTATTATAAATGTGAATTAAAAAAAAATTATATATCTAATACTGTTTTGTGTTACTCTGATGTACCCAACTTCCCAGGCAAAAAAAAAATGGCAGAATTGATTAATATTACTTGTTACTTTATATAGCTAAATAAATAATAATGATAAAATAAAAACAAATAATAAATAGTCTTTGTGGATATAACTGTTAAAGATTTTTAGATGGGGAGATTATCCTGGATTATATGGGTGCTCCCAAAGAAATCATTGGTTCAGTTCAGTTCAGTCACTCAGCGGAGTCCAACTCCTTGTGACCCATGGACTGCAGCACGCCAGGCCTCCCTGTTCATCACCAATTCCTAGAGTCTACTCAAATTCATGTCCATTGAGTCGGTGATGCCATCCAACCATCTCATCCTCTGTTATCCCTTTCTCCTCTCACCTTCAATCTTTCCCAGCATCAGGGTCTTTTCAAATGAGTCAGTTCTTAAAATCAGGTGGCCAAAGTATTGGAGTTTCAGCTTCAGCATCAGTCCTTCCAATCAATATTGGAAAATTCGCGAAAAATTCAAAGAAATCATGGGTATCCTCTGAAGTGGAAGGCAGATGGTTATCTTACACATATAAATAAAGTGAAAGTGTTAGTTGCTCAGTCATGTCCAACTCTTTGCGGCTTCATGGGCTATAAAGCCTGCCAGGCTCCTCTGTCCATCGAATTCTCCTGGCAAGAATACTGGAGTGGGTAACCATTCCCTTTCCC